GACAGGAAATTAGGCAGGGGAAGGCACAAGATTTCTCTGCCTAGCCCTTCCTCACTCCCTTCATCTAGAAACCCATCTCTGCTTCAAGAACATGAATCAAGTAAAGCCCTTTGACTCATTCCGGTGACAAAATCTTTCCAGAGCCACAGCAGAGGAAGGAGCCTTTCCTTACTCATCCATGGATAGAAAGCAGAAGCCAAAACAACACACAATACCCACACAGGAGTCATTTCCTTAGAAAACAAGTAGATAATAGAGAGACATGGAATGATATGTCAAATCCGTCATGCGTGTGTATCGCACTCAAAAAACCACCAGGTACACCAGCCAGTGAGCTGCTTCTCCCTTATCTGTGTACTCTTTTATGGACACTGGAAAAATGCTGCAAAAGGATGCTGATAAGGTGGTGGATGTTTCTACAGACAGACGTTTCCCCAAGCCAAGCAGGCATCCTCAGAATGCTATTCCTGCCACAGACAGGCCATTTCTCCAAAACTTGAAAGACTGAGCTATTTTGTTTTTTAAAAAGTTGAACTGCAATTCTTGTGTGACAGGGTCAAAAGCTTGAGCTTTACCCCAAACCCAAGTATTTTAGTGAGGAAGGAAGAAGAGCAATTCTAAATAAAATAGCCCTTCTCCTACTGAGAGGGATTCAATTGCTGACGAGGCACCCATGTGAAAGCGCAGCACAGCTGATACATCCCTTTCCTCTGGCTCTGTCCAACACCAACCCAAGATGACCCTTAGGATAAATCCAGGACTAAAAGTATCACGAAGACTTGAAGATCAGAACTACAGGACCTAGGAAAGCATACCAAAAAAATGATCCTAACAAGGTCCTACTTAAAACAAGCATAGCTGAAAGCAGCACTGTTTAGCTCTAGTTTTCATGTGCATTTGTCTCCCCTTAATAAACTTTGGCAAGCTTATAGCTCCAGCAACAAAAAACCTCTCACTAATAAAAACCACATTTGGGATAGCTTGGATTCCAGTGGTAATTTTAATGGTATGTGTTATATTTCCTCTCCCCACAATGCTGCCAGAGGGTCCCTGGGTGGATTTGTTGCATCTGACTTATACTTTCAGGAGCCAGTCAAAGATGCTTGTTAGTTAGCTGGACAGGCAAGACATGCACATTTGTTAAATACATTTGCAACTCCTGCTGCGAGTTCAGCTGGAGATACATTTCCAACATACAGGAAAAGAAGCTGAAATAGCAAGGCGCTGCTCTAACTTGGATTTGGCCAAAACATACTCATATCTCCACTACAAGATGTTTCCCCCACCCTTTCACTGACACTTCAAACATAAACAGGGACGTTAGCAAAGCCAGGTGTTAAATCTCTCGGAGGACCCTTCCCATCCTTTTGCTGTGTCAGTAATGCTCAGTGTTGCACTTAGTACGAAAAGCATTATGGATTTTAAATCAAGCCTAATCAAAGATTCATTAACAGGCAATACATTAACGCAACATATAACCACCAGCCACCCGGTGCCCTTTAGCAGCTCCACAAGTCCTGAACAGGCTGTGAGCATCAGCAGGGTCAGGGTATTTCTCCAGGGCTTAACAGCATAGGTCAAAAGGGCAAAAAAAAATATGAGTAATTCGATCAAGTAAAAGAAAAGATGCAGACAACTTCAATATATCTGTTCAAGTCCCAGCACACATGTAAATCCACCCCTCCCACAGGTGGCTAAGGGTGCAGAATTAACTTTTTAAGCTTTTTAAAGCTTAAAAAAAGGCAGGCCAATGAACTTAAAACAGATCACATGGCAGTCTGGGTGCAGAACTTTAAAAAAGAAACAAAATTTAAAAAGGTAGGCAGCTCAACTTACAACAGAATTCTTCATTTTATCACCTCTGTGAGCAGCAAATGCCAATATTATCTACCTCATTCAAACATGGACCTATCTGTGGCCACACCAAGAATACACAGTCTCAAAACCCTAGAAGCTTCTACTTATCTTAGCCCCATAACATTTCCATCAGGTAAAGCAGCATTTTTACTTCCATTTTGCTGATGCAGACCTGAGGCACACTAAGAACAAAAGCATAGGGTCTAGAAGCATTTACTACCTACAGCATTTTTTTTTTCCCAGAGAATGGGAATGGAAGACAGTCAGCAGCCCCATTAAGAGCTACAGGAAGACCAAAACAGACTCGCAGCAGTTGGGTGCCACAGGGTTACTCTTCCAGCTTATCGGTGAGTACATCAAGTCAAAAAAACATGGGTGTCTTTTTCAGAACTTCCTTCAAAGAAATATACCTTCAACTCAAACACTCCTGTTGCTTTTCCAGATTGTTCCAGGGAAAAATTCAACAATGGGAATGTATGGACCACAGAGTAATGCTAAAGGAAGCTGGCAATCAGCATCTTGTGCTGTAAATAGCCTAATGATAGTGTCTGTGTTCCCACTAAAGTCAACTATAATCAGATATTGAGAAGAAGAAAATAATAATAGGGTAAATATAACTCCATTGGGTGGTTAAAACAAACAAGAAAAAAACAAAACAAAACAAAAAAACCACCTCATGTATGAAATATCTTGCAATAGCAGCACCACCACAAACTAGGAAGAGGTAGGAAGAGGTAGCAAGAGGGACTCAAAGCAGCTAATAACAACCAAAATGGTAAGACTTCAAAGGCAAACTCAGCATGGCTTTCCCAGAAGCCCAAGTTTTCAGCAGCATTCAAGGATTTTGGAAGCCTTTGAAGCAGAATTATGCCAGTTCTAAATTCCTCCTTCCAAACTCTGGATTTATCCTATAAGGCTGCTTGGCAAAGCCTTCTTTTCTTCTCCAGAGTATGAAAGCAGGGATTTTCTTCTACCCACAAGTGTTCTTTTTTTAAGTATCTTCCTTCAGGAAAGGTCTTAAGTCCACTTAAAATGTATTTATCAACATGTATATAAATTAAGCCTTGCTTACATCATCGAACTACATTTTGTCCTCAAAATTTAAGCAGATCAAAAATAATTACAATCTTTCCGGATTAAAAATTATGCAGTTGTATGATACCATAAACTGGCTTCAATTCAGTAACACTTTTGGATGAAAAGCAGCAAGGCAGCATGTCATGAAAGCATAGTAGTGATGATATTTCAACTTAATTCCATCAAACAGTTCTTCCAGTAAGTACTACAGACAGACCTGTGGTAAACATTTAATGGCACAGGGGTAGAAAGCATACAATCATTCTCTGCACTGACACCTAGTATTTCTTTGGCTAATTAAAGTAAGCCACAATAAGATCAAGCTAACGTGGAAACACTACTCTTTTATTTACAGTGATATATCCAGTAGCCTTTCAGGCTTTAGAGCTCGGCGTGGGTCACATACAGAGTAGCTACAAATCTCCAGGCTCTGCAAACAGTTGAACACATGAATAATTTTAATCAAGCAGTAAAATCCCATCTTAAGTCATTGGGACTTAATGAGTATGCATCTGCATTATTATTACTATTCTATCTGCTTCATAATATGTCCTCAGTGCAAGGTTATGACAAGATTAATGAAATCCAGGCAACTATCCATAGCACCATCTTTCAATTTCAGTACCTCAGCATGAAATAAGGAGACTGAAAAGATATATATTTTTTTTCAGTATATGTATATAAAGAGTCTTGAAGTCAAATTAATTGCTACTGCTGCAGACTAGCATACTGATTTTTAAAGTTCACTCATAAAATTTAAATCAAGCTAGTGACACTGAACAGATTTCACAGTTGAAATATAGTTTAATTTTGCATAACAAATTGTCCACCATTCCACTAAGTTTATTTGCCAATAAATGCATGATCTACACAGGACAAAGCACAAAAAAATGCAAACAAGCGGTCAGAAGAGAATAGCCACGTGACAAGGCTGCTTTGTTTCCAAATAAGTTCATAACCCTGTATTCTGTTTGGTGCACACAATGGATAACCCGATATTTTAAAGTACTACCAGGAACCACCCCATGTTTCACATACCCGTAACTCATGAAAACACACATGCAAGAAAAAAAAATAAAATCAGTGCAGACTTTGAAATTTTGAAGATGCAGAACAGAAATCTATAGGTAAACTTTCATATTATGGTCATCACTGCAATCGCAGCATGTTTTGATACAGTAGTCAATATTGTAGTGTTGCTAAAATTATTTAGGATGTAAAGCAGCATTTTATGCCAGTTTTCCCCTAGCAGCATACTCATCTAACACTTCCACTGGCCTTATCTTCTTTGTTTCACAGTTAACAAAGGAAAATTTAGACACACAGGTAGGACAGTTTGATTTATTGTTAGATCAATAACACTGAGCCTTCCTGATGCTCTCAGGCACATGGTGTGATTCTTGGGGTGTCCTACACAGGGACTGAAGTTGGACACAATGATTCTGATGGGTCCCTTCCAACTCAGCATATTCTACAATTTCTACAATTCTATGAATAACTACCAAGTAACTAAAGCTCAAATTTGGAGAACTTTCAATTATATTTTTAAGTGTTCAAGAAACCCTCTTTGTCCATCTAGGAAGTCTTTTGCTTCAGCTCCTTCAACATTCCTTCATTACTTTCCTTACTTGGAAAGTGATGACAAAAAAGGCAAAACTAACAAGCTAAAAAAAAAAATTGGCCACTAGGGAGGAGATCCTGGCAGGTAACTGTACAGCAAGGACCTCTTAACTGAACAAACTTTCACTGTCTATAATCAGAAGAAAACAAACCCAGAACAGTGACTCATTAAAGCAGAACTCGTCTAAGTTTAGTTTCAAAACCTAAAAATAAGGTTTGGCAGTGGGGGAGTGGGGCTCTCCACTGAACATTTTTACACTCTGTCTTCTCCCGTTCTGTTCCAGCTGTTGGCTCAATTTACACCTTTAAAAATCACCACCAGACTCTTGCTACCAAATTACCGTTCAGGGTGGCAAAATTCAGGGGCCAACCTGGTCAAAAATACTGTTCTTGTTTCTCACAAAATCCAACATGCACAAAAGGAAATGCAAGAACGATTTCTGTACCTCCAGCTCCGTCTCTCTGCGATTGATATCATCAGTAGATTGATTTAGTTTTTCCAGCTCCCCCTAGAAAGAAAGAAAAGTCAAACGCATATTAAGGAATCAGAGGAAAACAGGTTTCTGAGAAGGCTCATTCAGCATCCTCACTGAACGCTCAGAAGGGCTGTGGCTTACAAATTCAGAGAAAAGAGGAAACCCTGACACATTTTGAACAACTTTACCAGTTTTTCTATTTTGCTACTTACAAGAAAAATAATCAGAGAAGCTCTATAGTTTTATTTTAAGGCAGAACATTTCCTGTTCTGTCTTATTCCTCGCTATTAAAAATAAACATAAGATACCAGAAGTTCCATCTTGTTAATCAATATAGTCAGTACCTGCTGGTTTCCAGTGAGATACACACACACACCTCCCAAAAGGATTAGCATAAAGATAGTACTATCAAGACGACATACAGTGAAAGCACAGCACTGATAAGAAATGTGTCTTGCAACATGACAGGCATTTGATTGTGGGTTTTGGCAAACCATTTTATAACACAACCAGTCAATGGGACACACGATTATGTTTACTCAGTCTGCCTTCATGCCAGCATTCTGCTCTCTTAACAGCAAAAACAAAGGTGTTAAATACCTTGAATAAATATTTACTAGGGGTGGTGTTGGCATGAATGAAGTTACTGTAAAAACAAAGTTCATTCTTAATTACTTTCTTACCACAAAAAGCAACCCTCAGGAGCAGACTCCAATAGCCTTCTTTATTGGAGCAACATGTTACACCATGTGAGATCCAATGATTTCAACAGGAGTGTTCTCTAACTCCAACCTTATTTAATTTTCACCCAGTGTAACAGAATCTGCCTTGAAACGTTCCGCTGAATAAACCAAACACTGTAAATTGATTGTCACTTGAGCCATTTCCCTCTAGATTACATGACTCTGGTTTACAGAAAGGAATTAATCTCAACAGTTTAGTTCTCCCAGGAAAACCTCGGAGGTCAGATTTCATTTCCAGCTCCCAGGATTTGGAAAATACATATTTGCACATTCATGTTTTCGGAAACAGACACGTACTAAGAAATTGCTTAACTGCCTTTTACTGCAAGGCTAAGAACATTAAGCCTCTCCAGGAGGAAGACACAGCAGCCTGTTTTGTCAACCGAACAGAAAACTCCACAAAAAATACAGTTTTACCAAGAAAGTGCAAATCAGGTCCGGGGAAAACATGCTGCAAGTCTAATAAGGCCAAAATCAGATCAATATCCACTACCAGAGCTCAGCTTCTTGCAGTCAGGACAGTTACAGGCCAGCTCTCGGCTGAGGGCCTCGCTCTGTGCAACCATGTTTTATGAATTTTGCAATCGCTTTGCTCAGCCCTGGAAAAGAAACGCTCACTGTGGAGAGAAGAATGACAATTACAGCAAGGAGGGCCCTACGCCAAGGGATCCGTCCTCCCAGCAATGTGCACACACGCTTTTATATTCGCTCCTGACAAACGGTCCCGGCAGCACTGGAGGCAAGAGGCACAAATCTGCAGAGACCTAAACACACGTTTTATTTCGGGGACCCCTGCGTGCTCGAGTTTTCACCAGGCAACGGTCAAGAAGCCACTGATCGTGGGGAGAAAAGCTTCGCTTAGGGAACCATGCAAGAACAACAGAAAGCATTTTAGAAGGCGTTCATACAGAGGAAACGCCATCCAGCACTAAAGATCCGTTTTCTTTTTTAATTAAAAAAAAAGAATAAAAATAGTAATTGCAATAAAAATCTGTTTTCCCCCCCAAATTACGAATTTCTGAGCACCAGCCCTGCCCCACGACCAAGGTCAGGCTGCCGTGGTCAGACACAGCAGGGGAGGGGGAGCTGAGCGGGAGGAGAAGGAAGGAGCCCCAGGGGTAACAAAGGGCCGGGGCGCCCCGGGGCCCCTTCCCCCGCACCCCGCACCCCGCAGAGGCTGCGGGGCTGCCCTGCCCCGCCGCCCGGCCGGGGCCGACAGGCACAGATACATAGAGAAAACATCTATATATGCTGGGGGAGGGGTTGGGGCATACGTGTGTGTGTGCATGCGTGTGGATTAGAAAGCGAAAAGAATAATAATAATAATAATAATTTAAAAAAAGACAGTCACTATAACCATTCTGCTCCAGACCCAGAAAATCAACGTAAAAATGAACAGCACCACCCCGCCCCCTTCCCCTTCTTCCCTGTCCCTCACCTGGATGCGGGGATCCACCTCCTCTTCCTCCTCCTCCTGAGGCCGCGGGGCATCCTC